TTTGCATATTGCGACAATGTTTAATATATCTGGGCTAATGAGTTTTGTGTGTTGTGATTTTCGGCAGAAAATATGTTGATTTTATTTTAGAAGGTTTCTCTCATTTGTCCGAGCGCTGGATTGTGTGAGTGGCGACTAAATTAAAGCAGTTCTGTACAAATGTTTGTGGTTATAATAAGTAAACTTTTTAAAGTGTTTAAAATACTTCCGAGTTAGTTTGCCTTCGGAGTTGCAATAGGTGAAATTAACGTTACTTAAAAAAAAAGAAAGAAAACACGTTAACTTCAGCCGCATCAAAGCTATATACAGCAAACATACCCTTCACAGGTGCATTTCTTAAAACATGAAAGGGTATAAAAAGCTTTGCCTGGCAAGTATATGCTATAGTGGTCCGATCTGAACAATTTTGATGCCGATGGTACAGCTGCCTTACACAATAATCCATGCCAAATTTAGTGAGGATATCTTGACAAATAAAAAAGTTTACCATACAAAAACTTGCTTTTGATCATTCAGTTTGTATGGCAGCTATATACTATAGTGGTCCGATCTGAACAATTTCTACACAAATTGTACTGTTGTCTTAGGAAATATTTCATGTGCAATTTCGTGAGCATATCTTGTCAGATCAAAAAGTTTTCCATACAAGAAGTTTATTGGGAACGGTCAATTTGTATAGCAGCTATAGTGTTGCCATCTCGGCGTTTGCGACAAATGTGTAGCTTCTTGAAGAGTAGTCAAATAAACATTAAAAAAATTTTAAATAAGGAAATAAAAAGATTTCTGGAAGTTAAAAGTTTCCCAAGTTACAATATATACGGTGCATTTTGAATTTGTATTTTAGAGCAAGTATTAGTGTACTTAAATACAAAAGTAAAAAAATTAAATTGCAATAAAAACGCACCTCCTTATCCTAGAAATACCATAGTTTTTGGTCTGCAAGAGCAGCTAATTCATTCGCAATGCGCCACCCGTAAACTATTCGCATTTTTCGTTTCTGGGTTTAACAAACACGCGTCTGCTTTAACTCATTTTTATGTTTAAACTTTTGCTACTTCCATATAATGTATATTTTTCTCATATTTCATTCTCTATACATGTTTTCTTCAACTTCAGCACATTTAATTATGTGTGGATCAGATAGTACGATGCCTTATATATATTATTCACCAATGTGTAGCACTCGAAAATATGACAACTGCGTGGCACCTACACAAATCTACTTCACACAACCAGTTGTCACACTTTCATTGACACATTCACTTGCTCCTTTATTTTCAGCTTACTTACGCATATATTTGTTGCTATGCGCTACATTTATATGCGTGTACTAGCACCAACACACATACAAACATGGCATATAAAGTGAGTTTATAACCGAAATTTAATTGAATTCTTTCAGTTGACACTTTTATTTTGTTTGTTTGAAATATTTCATTGGTAAATAAAATTATTAACCTCGCAAGCCGCACCGCGTGTATGTAGCTGAGGTTGTTGTAAGCAACAACAACTTTAAATATCGCTCCACAATGTGTGCAGCTACTACATATTTCACGCCTTCGGCAGTTGCTTATTATTCTCAATAAATTTTCGTGTCTTTTGTTTGTTGGGACATGCCGAATTTTTCGATTTCAACGTTGTTACACTGCATACGTTTGCTTTTGATTTGCTTTTGCTGTTATTTTCGGTTATTAGCGTGCTTTTCTTTTGTGTCACTCAGTTCATTTCCCGCTCCGCAGGCTTCAACGTTGCGTATCTGGCGACACCTGTCAATTCAGTTTGTACAAAGTATTATTTGTCTTGTTGTTGTTCAAGTTGCGTTTTTCTTACATTTTTATTGAGTGAATATTTGCCCAACACTTTTTGCCTCACTCTTTTATGCTTAGTTGCTCACATGCTTCAGGTAGTTCTTAGCAGTTTTTGTCGCTTAGCGTTTAGGCTGTTCCCACTGCTTTGTTTTCTCGACTTTTTCAGCAACTTTCTGTCAAAGTTAAATAAATTGCCTTCTTGCTACACAACGTCGATTTTAATGTAACTCCAAACTCCAAAAGACTATTTTTTTTTGCCTACGGAAGTGAGTTGTTGTGGTTGTTTTTGCATTTCTTTCTAAGCGTGTACGTCAATTTGTTTGTGAAAACCTGCTGTGCGCGCATCTGAGAGTGTGCTAAGTTCTGAGTTTAGCACTTTCTTTGTGCACAAACGATTGCAGAGAAAAACAGCTGCAAAAAGTGCCAACAAAGGCCTCATATGGTAGTTGTATAAAAGCTAGAAAGTGACATTTATGAAAAAATAATTTTTTTTTAATTTTTGGGAATTCTAACAATTAACTGAACATATTCAATACACTAAGTTAGTTAAGTGCAGGATGTTCTGCTAGTTTTTTGCTTTACTTTACTTTACTCGAGTTATATTCGCTTTATGAAACGAACCAAGCATTTACCGCGCGACAGCCGCGCACAAGTACACTTCACTCCAAGTGCTTAACTAAAGAAAACTTTAACTAATTTTTAATGCATACATTTGTATATATCTGTGGCTAAGTGTAGGCATGTTTTTCACATTACAATGCGCCACTGCGTATGAGCAACTTTTTTTGTTTAGTATGCAAAATATTGCCTTTGGCAAACTTTTCAACACGGAATTTAACGAATTTAACACGGAATTCGGCATTATGTGTTGAAACTTTGCACCACCAACTAATGCCACCACGTGCACACGAAACGTGTGCATGTGTGTGTTTTGCACGCACACCAATGTAGGCCATATCTGCGACATGAAATCGATTGACTTTGCTCGCGCGCTCATTTTACCGATACTCATATGTGTCTTTTTTTTCAACTTTTTACCGTCAACTTCATCGGGCATTTGCGCTTTGTGCAAAGTCACAATAAAGAAATCGTTGTCACGTTCTATCGAGGCATAAAGGTGAAGCACACACACATGCAGAGTCTGCTGTGTTTGGGCCACGCGCTGCTCTAACGGCCAAGTTTGAGTTAGCACCGCAATCGAACGGTATCGCAAACAATGGCAGCCAACACAACACAATGAAATGCCAGCAAATACCAGAGAACAGAAGTCAAATGTCAAATGAATGCCAACCGAAATAAAACGACAACGTTTGCCCCCTCACGGCGTACGTGCAGGTGTTCACTCATCGGTGTTGGCCTCGCAAGCAGCACAAGTGTATGTATGTGTGCTCGCTGAAGTTATTGCAGCCATTTGGTGTGTATATAAATATATGCACGTGTGTGTTATTTATTCAGGTGCGAAAAAATATTTTTGTATGTAAATCGCTCGTCGATTTAGTGAATTAGATAAATTTGTGCGCACAATTGCTCACGCCTCGCACACCGAACGTTACTTGGCAGTTGATGCAATTGCTAGACGTTTGTCTTGTTAGAAAATGGTGGATCATGTTTGTGCTTTAGATGGACATGAGGTGTAAATATGAAATGCATGTGCAGACATATGCGGATTAAAGAAATATTTTATATTGTAATGTCTACGTCCCGGCCGTCATATTAAAGTTCTCGGTTGACATTTACTAGCACGTGTGTTTCGGTACTGGCTGAGCGAAAATCAATAACAATTATTTTACCCCTCATTACTAGACAAATACTAAGTGTAATTCTTTGAGGTGAGAAATTTTCTTGATTCATTATCAGCTAGGGCTTTTGCACGCATATAGTAATAATAATTTATCAATTTAGCTGAAATGCCCTTCACAAATAATAAATTTTCATTAAAAAACTTTTTATCGATCAGTTTGTAAGACAATTTTCCACAAAAGAATTTTGACCGGTAAGTTTATATGGCTGCTATATGCTATAGTAAACCGATCTGTACACTTTTTTTGGAGTTGAATTACCAGCACATGATGCCGATCGTTCAGTTTGTATGACAGCTATATGCTAAATTGAAACACATCGGTGATTCCGTCAAATGAGCTCCTTCTTGGGAAGAAAAAATACGTTTGCAAAATTTCAGATGCATATCTCACATGCTGCGGGACTAACTCGCGCATATACATATAAAAGGACATATGTAACTAAATGGACTCAGCTCGTCACGCTGTTCAATTACATTAATTTGGCAACACCGTTCCATCAATTTTTATCTGCAATAATTATGGCGAACATCAATTTAAATTTATCGCAAATTTATTTCCATTATTCACGATACGAACTGCCGCATTTGAGCTCCATTCATACGCGCACACATATGCGACGGTACCCAGGCGAATAAGCATTATTGACCAACTTATGTTCGCATGTCAAGTGAGTGTGAATTTGGTTTGTTAAGTCCTAATAGAACTTAACTGTATCCCGTCCGCAAATGTATACAAGTAACAAACACAGATAACAAAAGCGCACAGCATATGTGTGCGTATGCGCTTACAAAGGTAATACAAGCATACTTAACAGTTAAGTACTGTTCGGGTCATTTTGCATAATTCAGTATTAATAAAGCTATACAAGCATAAAAGTTGTATGTTTTCAACACAGCAACCAAGTTGCGCACCATTGCTCTTGCCACACGGGCAATGTATGGTGTGCCCAAGGGATGCGAGCTTATTATTACGAGCCGCTTGAGCGGCAATGAAGAGTGACCGGCGCGTCCAACCGGGCGTATGAGTAACATGCAACATTGCCTTTTGCTTTTAATACCCTCTAAGTGCCAATGCTAAGTGAAGCGTAAAAGGGTTGCATAGAAAACCAGTGGAAAATAGTTGTAGTGCATTGACATGCAAAGATAACTGAAAGGGAGTGTGAGTGTGCGCTATGATAATAGATTGCTGCTGAAATTAGAATAATATAAATGAAATGTTGCTTTTAAAAACACTTAAATATTTAAAATGCTCATTTCCACTGGCAACATGTGTTTGCCCCTTTGGGGTACATATAACGATAAGTATTGCATAACTAAGCAGCACTTAAAAATTATTAGCAAATTCATACTTCAACTTATTTACTAATACTTTACACTCTTGTCCATTGCAGTATGGCGAACTCTCGCTCACCACCAATCCCGCCTTCAGCCTCTACAACACGCCACAGCGCGCGCCCGCCGCGCAACGCCCAGTCTACACCGCGCCACCACCGCTGCTCTCTACACGCACGCCACCCAACATCTACACACGCATACCGGGACGCTCCTACCTGCCCGCTTACGAGACGCGCACCTCACCCACTTCGCCCTATGGCTCGACCACCACCTGCACCATACCGCTGCTCAGCGGCCAATCCAACGGCTCTCTACAAACAAACAGCAGCACCCTGGGTAGCAATTCAGGCGGCGGCGGCATGGGCGGTGGCAGCCTCAACAGCAACGCCAGCAGCGGCATGCACTGTAACACATTGCCACATCCGGGCGCTTTGCAGCATCACGCCTCTGCGGCCGCAGCTGCCGCGGCGGTGGCGTCCATGACGACAAATGGCATGCCCACAGCGCTCACCTCATCGATGACATCGGGGAATATTAGTCTGGCTGCAACGCAATCGCTGCTCACATCGCCGCGCACGCACAACGGCGCCAACATCGCTGGAACTGGTGGCGGCAGCGGCGCGCTCTCACTAGCCGGCATGAGCATGGGCATGCCAGCGACTACAACGGCAACTACGGGCGTCATGCCGTTACTCAACTCATCGTCCGCTTTGCTGGGCAGCGGCAATTATGAGACAGTGGCCTCCTGAGAATTACCGAAAGATGACATTAAGTGTCAATTTGTATGCATAGGTGGGAGTAGTACGTGTACCAGCAACGCGGAGCGCACCACAATCGTCTAGTGAGACGAGCGTACCCAAATGGAGATGCGGAAGCGTTGGAGAAAGTGCCGATTTGTGGGCATTGTGTAAATTCCTTGTAATTTAAATACTTAGCAATAAGGCAGCTGAAGTAGGTTCACTTGTGGCAAAACGAACGCAGCGCAAGTAGCGAAAGCAAGTGTGGTGAGTTTTGAACGTGTAATTTAACTTTGACTTACTTTCAAAAAATATATGTGTGCTTAGAAACAATTTTTTGAAGCAGAAAAAATTTTCAGTTTCTAAACTTTTAATGAACTACTTGCACAAAGTACCTTAAGTAACTGTTAAAATATTTTGCAAACAGTTTTTAAAAAGAAAATTTATATATTTACAGTAATTATTTTCTTGTCAGTTTGCACAAATGAGTTTCTAAATTTATTTTTAGTACAAAAGTCTGCAGAAATGCAAGAAAACGGCGAGAATTTTGCAAAGTGAACAAACATATATAAGACTTCCAAATGTAATGCGTAGTTAAGTTATTGTAGAATCACTTAGTGGGATATATGAATGTATGTGTGTACTGTAAATCATAAATTGTAATTTAGATCGAGCTATCTAAACTACAGCTGAGGGCAATGCATTTATAAAACAAGTACCTTTGCGCAAATCATATATAAATATCTATCTGTGTATAAAAGCGTCTGCAAAAAAAACTTAGAAATGTTTGTAAGCTTGAGTACAGCTTACGGTGTCGCTGTTATGTATGCCTGCGCTAGGATAGCGCAGTTAAAAGCTCGCTTCTTACATACCTTAGAAAAAAAGACACAATATGATTGAACCAAGACTAAGTGATCCAAGTGATTCTTTTGCCGTTTACTTAAGTTGTGTTTATGATATTTCTTGTAGGCTCTGTATTATACTAGTTTTTTATCTTCGCGCCAAAATGTAGGCAACAATTTTTACCTTGATTGAATTCTTATTAGTTAATTTGCTTAACAATTTTCTTATTTATTTAGTTGTTTCCTTTAATTTTATAATTTTTTTAAATTTCTAAAAACATTTTTTTAATTTATTTTTTTGTTTAACGATTTTATATTTTGCTCAAAAATTTTTTAATTTTTTCTTTTTAAATTTTTTTTTTTGAGAAATTTTTATATAATATTTGAAATTTTTTTATATCTTTTTAAAATTTTTTTTTAAACTTTATTTATATAAATTTTTTTTAAATTTTATTTATATCTTTTTTTTAAATTTTTTTTTTGAATTTTATTTATATAAATTTTTTTATTTAATTTTTTTCAATTAAAAAATAGAATATATTAAAAGTTTTTGAGCAAAAATTTAAATTAGTTAATGTTACTGAAAATATTTTCTTTTAATTTTTAAATAATATTTTAATATTATTTTCTTTAATTTTTAAAATAGAATTTTTGTTCTTTCCATAACGATAAGCTGTAGCGAGAGCACATAGCAGCGAAATCACTTTGTATGACGAAGTTTACAAACAATTTACAAGCAGAATTTAACGCTAAATGTAAAGCAAAGCCATAAATAATATATGTGTGTATATAAACAAAACTGCAAAAGTCTCTTTTAGTTAGTAGCATATTCTGCAAAATTATAAAGTATTAGTGGTGGCTAACATTTACAGAATATCTTAAGTTCTCAACAAATTTCAAAACCATTAAATGTAACAAGTTTGCACGAAGTAAAGCAAACTTGCAAAAAAATCGATTGAATAATGAGAGATTTGAAAACAATCGGCTCTGACCAAAACAGCCAAAAGTATTTCAGCGCCCCACTACTGCTATATAAATAGCATATATAATGTATATAATATCTATAAAGTCTTTCATATACATAGCGTACAACACATACAATATAATATAATATAAAGTAAGCATGATCGAGGTGAAGACCTTTAGTTAGCCACATTGAACGAAGTTACAACATAACAGAAAAGACTAAAGCTTGCGCGAATACTATGTACTACAACAAATACATACAAAAATTAAACTAAAGCATATATTAAAAAAAAAAAAGAAACACTAACTAAGTAAGTGCATAAATAAGCAAACAACAAACACGTAATGTAAAAACTGTGCTGCATTCTAAAAACAGAAGAAATTCAATGAAAAAGTGTTAGAAAATATTTTGATTTTGTATATGTAAAAATCATTCTATATAGTCCATATGTTATATAGTATAACAGTAGCTAAAGAGAAATTCTTTTCATTTACATTCGATAGCTGAAAATTAATGTGGAAAAAATCACAGTGAATAAACTTAAAACTAAATTTAAATGCAATTTAAAATATATACGCTAAAAAATTAACAAAAATATATATATACATACATACATGGTATATGTTTAACTAAAAGCTGATAAAAATCAACTAAATGAAATACAAACAAATCAAATAATCCTTTCTCCCGCCCACAAAAATTGTAACTCAATGAATTTTTCTACCTACAAACCAAAAAGATATATTTAAAAATTACAAAAACACACACACATTATATATAGGCAAATATGTAAAGTTATGGACAAAGCTCGTATTGATTGTTGACTAGTTATGCAAATTCTATATATATTGCTGTCACAGTTTTAGCTGAACGTATTGTTTTCGCTGAAATAAAGTGCTTTTTCTCGAAGAATATCTAATATTGTAAAGTAATCAAGTGAAAACTTTCAAACTACAACCAAACTCTTATATGTATGTGTAAAGCGCATGCTAGATAAATATTTTCTAAATTTTGTTTCAGTTAAATTCGTTAGAAAATGTATGGCAGCTGTGTAAAAATTACAGCAAAAAATTTGAAATTAAAAAAATTATTGGAAATATTTTTTTAACTTAAACATTTAAGCGCACAACTTTAAAGCGTACAATTAATTAAATTTAAGTTAATTTAGGCGTTAAACCTTAGTTATATTTTCAGACAATTTGCAGTTTTTGTGTAAATATGTAAGGCTTCTTATTTTATATTTATTATTTTTGTTAGAAAATACTTCATTTATTTTACGAAAGATAAACAACAAATATTTTAAATATTTATTTTTTCAGAATCTCTGTAAAATTTAATTTTTTTGTTTTATTTTGTTGGCAAACATTTACGATTTATAATTTGGATTTTTTTTTTTCGAAAAACTTTAAAACAATTATAAATGCTATTTTGTAATGAATTTATGGTATTTTTAAAATTTTGTTTGTATGAATTTTACAAGTATGTACGAAATGTTTAAATGTATGCCAATTTTTTAGAAATATATAAAATATTTTCTAATATTGACTGTAAAATTACATGAAGAAATATTATATCAGAAAAATCGTTTTTTTAAAGAAATTTTATGTAATGTGGTATATTTTCGATTTTGTTGTAAAAAATATATATGTTTATTATTTATTTTGAATTTATGTTTAGTGAATTTAATTTTTTTTATAACTTTGTTTAATGTTTATAATAATTTTTTCAATACTTTTTTGTTTATGTCTTAAAAAATTATATTTTTGTGTGTATGTATATATATTTTTTTTTTATTGATTTTCGTAATGTTTTGCTCGTTTATAATAAAAAAAACTGAACAAATACTTAAATCAAAGCGTTTTCCTGTCCTTATGTTTTTACATTCTATTGTAAAAACGCCCAAACCCTGTCTGAATAATTTTTTTAAACGTCTTTACAAATAAGTATGTATGTATGCAGTTGCTACAAAAAAAGCATTTTACTATTATTTTCTTTTATTATTAAGCCAACATTTTTTTAAATAATTAGATGTTACAAACACTTAAGAAAATATGTGAGAAATTGCGAACCTATAAATTGACTACTTTTTTACTTATGATGGCGAGAATATTGTATAAAACTTAGCGTAAATTAAAAACAAAAACACAATGGGGTAAGAAATTATTAGATAATTAAAAATACAAAAAAAAACCGAACATGAATAAAACGAAGATATAAGCAACAAAAAAATTAAATAGCATGCGATTTTTATTCAACTTAATTAGATGATGTTTTTACAAACTCATTTAGGAAGCTTCATTTTATATGGTGAGTAATTTCAGTGATTAAAGCTGCACAAAACATTCAAACCGCCTATGTCACAATGATATTTGCTGCGCTTGATTCACCTGGATTCTGTGTCTACGTTGCCTAGGCAGAAACTAAAGCTTACCTTACGGTGGAAAGGAGGTTGTCATCAAAGAAATTTTCATAAATTTCATAATCCAACAAAACAAATAAGTTAGTAATTATTTACTTCCACAGAACTTGGCAGAGAATCTTTTTTTAATTGTTTACTTCTTTGTCTTCTCTGTCCACTTTGCTTCATTTAAGACGAGCAAGCAATCATCTATGTAAAGATATGCCGAAATGTCGGAGCATGTCAGAATCAATCAACGCCAATTTATTATTAATTAATTTTGCAGGAATTCTAAACAAACAATTATCCCAAATAAATTCGAACTCAGTTTTTCTAAGATGAAATCCTGCATTTGCTTAGCTCTTCAATGCTGGCAAAAGCAATTCCTGAGCAAATATTGGCTTAATTAGAGACATTTTGTTTTAATACCAATACAATCTGGTATTTGATTGCTGCTTGTGCAACACATCAATCGATTTTTATTTATTTACCAAAATATGTGCATCCTTTGTTTGATGTTTACTACAAATAATTGATATTTATTGCTTATAAAGAAACTTAAAAGGAATTGATTAATTAATTTTTTTTTAAGCTGGCAAAGCATTTGGCTGGATGTTTCATGAAACAACCACTACTGCCTAAAGGTATGCTACGCATAGATGAGTATTTTCGGCTTAGTTGGTTGTACAATACACCAACAACTATGTTTGTTAGAAGATTATTAAACGTGCTTCTTGTTTACATAAAATATCATCCAAAAAGTATGTCACGATAATTTACCGCATTGCTTTTTATTTATAACAGATATCAGTCTAAAGGTATGCTACAAACGGTGCATGTTTTCTAGCATATCCGTGGTGCAATACTCAAAAAAAAGCCGTTTAAAAAAGTTTATTAAACACGCAGAAGTGACTAGCAAGATGCGAAGAACTTTTGTCTATAACTTCCGCAATTTCCACTATGCTTGCTGCTCAAAATATTTCCAACTCAAAGCATTCACAAATATTGCGGTTATTAAGCATAACATATACATAAAAACCCAAACGTACTGTCTTAGCTTCGCTTAAAACGATTTGTTATAAATAACTCTTTAGAGAATAATTTTGAATAATGTTTAATATTTAAATAATATTAATTATGCATTTACGCTAATTTAATTTACCGTTCTGTTACCCGAGGGCTCATGCTTAATACTTTGAATGGAAGGTTAAAGAGAATTCTGTTTTTAGCTGGAAGGGGTTTATGTATTAGGAACGACATCAAAGGTTGCACACATTTTTGTACCGCCAAAAGTCCATTTGAATTGAGACTAGTCGCAAGCGTAAGCCTGCAAAGAGACGCTTCCGTTAATTCAAATTACACCATGGCAACCGCAGCTATCGACTTATGAGCTGGTGCGTGTGGATTGCTTTGTAAATTTAGAATTTCCAACACAAATAAACAAAACCGAACACACACACACACCAACAACACATCAAATAACCTACTTACATTGTTATCGCATACCGTGGTATATGTGCGTGTGCGTGTGCGGCCATGCACGTGTGGTTAATTCGCAATGCTGTCGTAGCGACGTATGTAAATGCCACTAACAGCAATGCCACGCATAACAGTTATACCTGAAGCTCTTGCTCGCTTGCCGCTTCTTACCTTTCGCCATTTGCGCAGTCAAGCCGAAAGTGTGTTATGCCCTACAGCCACACACATTTGCAAGTAAATGTTGCAACATTCTCAAAACAACACCGACAAATTCACACCAAACGCCTAAATTTCCAATGCAAATTCGTCTGAAAATTTGTGATAACCACCTTTCTTGGTCTGCAATATGTTGTTGTGGTGTTGCTCTGCCATTTTCAGACTTGTTTTAACATATTTGCTAAAGTGAGTTTAGGCGCGTGGAACATGTGTCGGCTTTCAAGGACTCTATTTCTAATACAACGTTAGCAATAGGTGCTTATGAACGCTTTGGGTTTAAAATTATACACTGAACTTACTTAGTAAGATGTAAGTTTATATGATCACAGGTATAAACCAAATACATATACACCACATGTAAATGACATATAGCGAAGTACAATACTTTGATTTTGTTATAGCGCATAAGCAGTTATATGATAAGCTGACATTATCATAGTAGTAAAATATCATTTCTCGAACTACTTTCTTTTATCCTCTAACTGCGCTCTTGCATACTGTACTTTATTAGTTTTCTTGTTTGGGTCACGCAATACTAATCATAGAGGCATACTTTCAGGCGTTTACTAAAAGGCTAAAAATTAAATTACAAGACTCCTTTAATGTTAGCAAATTTAGGGTTCACCTTACTTATAATTATTTTCCATGCAAATATTCTGTTGGTTATATACTGTCTCTGTTTCTAAACGCCCAAACTAACATTCGCGCCTTATTTAACACGATCGTAAAGAGGTTTTATCAATACTTTACCGATTTTAAGAAATAGCAGACTCCACCAGCACATAGCTGAACTACATTCAATAAGACTGCACTAATAAAACCGAATTCGAGAAGAACCTGGCATACAAATTTTGATACTCGAAACAGGCACTGTAAATGGAGCTTTGCGAGTTGTCTTACATCCATTCTTAATAGTGCGGAAGAGGTATTAATATTTTTTCCAATGTTTCTGCGAAAATAATGGAAAGCGGCGAGCACAACTTTCGTTATAAAACCTGCTTTAAAAATAACTTAATTTTATTCCTCTATCCTTAAACATAAGCAAACGGATATGCTAGCAACAACTCGAGCATTCTTTAGTTGTCGCGGTTGCGCTCATTAACAACTGTATTCTCTTTTATTAATATGTACTATTGACATTTTTCCAAACTGTCAATTCAATTGTAATACGTACAGTCATTTAATCATATATTCATTACATTTCAACAATCATCACTTCCATTTACACCCACACACACACACACATGCCATATGTTGAGCACTCGTAAACTGATAAATGGAAAATGCCAAACTTTGTCAATGATTGAGCCAGCCATGCAAACGAGAATGAAGTGACCGAGCTCCGCTCTCAACTCAATACAACTCAATACGCGCTCAGCCGAGCTGAACAGCGCTAAGCGGAGCAGAACTGCTGCAACAATCATTGTCAATTATCAACCAATTTTATTTGTTATTAACTTGCTACTGATTGCTACTGTCAAGCTATCTCCACCCATATCTCTGCCCATATTATATAACAAATACATATGCATTGCATACGCATGATTGTGTATTCGCTTTTTGGGCTATTTTTCAACGTTCCTTATTATCGCGCAAATGATTCAATGGAAAGGTTTCATGTATTCATATATCGTAGTAAGTATAA